TTGTTTTTAAATAAACATACCAATACATATTCCACCAGTTTAAAACATATTTTATTTACATAATTAAAGTATATCTATAAAATAGTTTTTAACTTTATTTATGTTTTGAAAAATTAAGTTTTATATGGTTTTTAAAAACAATAAATCATTTATCTTTTACTACTTTTAAAGAAAATACTTATAAAGTCTTTAGTGCATTTACATCTATATTTAAATTATATTATTTGAAAAAAGATAGATCTTAGAGTTAAAAAAAATATTCATCTAACACATATTATGTCACTATTAGAAAACTAAATAAATAAAATTATATGGATAAAATATCAAAAATTGAGAATGTATACGAGCCCGTGTGAAGCACGGGGTTAACACTAATTAGGTTGTATTGTTGAATATTAAATTAGTTTGAAGCATTTTGTTGAAGCAGTCTTTGTAACATATGGATAGAACTAAACTCAACCACTCTCAACGAATTCAACTTAGCTCTAAAAGACCTGAACGTGAAGCTGCTCATACAGATACACATTAGATTCTTAATCACTATCACAATGATCTTTACTGCTTTTGTTTTTTGCTGGATGGCTAGATGTTTGTATTTTTTTGAATGAAACGTTAGGTGCCTTAGCTACTCAAGAAACAAAAGTGATCTTCTAACTGTGGAAGATAGACATATTTTGGATTCATGACACATGGAAACACATGTTAATGGGAAGTAGATTTTTTCTTCTACTGCTTGGTTTTTGTTTTACCGCTCACATGTTTACATGAGAAATCTCAAGTTAAACCTAGTGTTTTGAAGACTGGACCGGATTGGCCGGTTCTACCAGTCAGACTGCGACCCAGAGACTAATCAGTATGGCTCATTAGCCAAACCTGTTTCCTTATTAACCCGGTGAATCGGGTGACTCAGGTTAGCTCAATCTGGTCATTGGTTCGGATTTAAAACTATATTTATATTTAATTCAAATAGTGAAATGGAGGGATGGGGATCAAACCTGCAACCTTTAATAACTCAACATTAGACCTGATGAAAGTGCGGGCCGAGCCGGGTTTCGGGCCGGGCCGAGACATTACTTTATGAGAATTTTCTAGGCCCAAGCCCGGGCCGGCCTGTATAACGGGCCTAACAATTGAAGCCCGAGCCCGGCCCGTATTTTTACCCGCGGGCTTCGGGCTGGCCCGACCCAAGCGACAAAAACTTCTAAATAATTTTAAAAATAATTTTTTTAAAAAATAAATTAACAAGTTAATATATTAGATATTTGATATAAAAACTATTATGAGTAGTGAAAGAAAAATTAATATATATATATATATATATATATTTTGTTTGATATTGCTACTATGTATGGAGTACAAAATATTATCTATTGGAATGTCATAATCAATGTGTGATACGTTGCAAACAATTTGGAGTAGTAAAGATTGATGTATTCATTTTATTATATAAACTTATAGTATATTTTTTCTCTCCATAGAGTATGTATGTGTGTTTATAATAATTTGAAATAGGTTTGTTCTTTATTATTATTATTAATGTTGTTATTGTTATTTTATTATAATTATATTAATAAAAAATATTTTAATTTATTCGGGCCAGGCCGGCCCGTGGGCTTGAGTATTAACCCGAGCCTGGCCCTAAAATATTCGGGCCGCCATTTATAAGGCCCAAGCCCGGCCCATACCCTAACATGTCAAGCCCAAGCCCGCTATTTTGCGGGCGGGCTTTTGCGGGTGGGCCGGATACCCGGGCCCGTGATCGGGTCTACTCAACATACATTTTGTCCACTTGAGATACTTCAACATTTGTTTAAAATGTCTTACAACACGTAATATATGAGCTATTTATATTTGAACAAAACTTAGATAGACATTTATTTATAATATACTCCGTATTTATTTTATGAACTTCTAAATTAGTTAAAAGAAAAAAATGTTACTTTTTCAAAAGAAAAAATAAATATAAATATTGTATACCCAAAAAATTATTTTCATCTTCAAAATTTTAGTATGGAGTAATATTTATTAGAGTAAATTTCATAAAAGGTCTCAGTTATAGGTCGTTTTACATATTTAGTCCCTACATATCAAATATTACTAATTTAGTCCCCAATTTATTACATTCATTTCCACGAATGGTCCTTTGTTAACATTTCCGTTAAGAACGTGGATAAAATTGTAAACTAACACTCTTTTGTCTCCTCAATTAAGCTTCTTATATCCCCTCGCACTCCTTTCCCAAACGCGTCATTGAATTTGAAGCTTTGAACCCAAAATCAAAACCATCACTCTTCTCTCAATTGTCTGTCTAACTGGTGGAACTCAAATTCGAAACGAGTAACCTTTATGGATGAGTTTTTATGTTTATTTTCTTTGCAATTTCTTGAGACTTACCAATAAAACTCATCCATAAAGCTTATTGGTTTTGATTTTAGGTTCCACCAGGAAGACTAATAATTGAGAGAGGAATGATCATTTTAGTTTTGGGTTTAGAGCTTGAAACTCAGTGACGAGTTTGGGAAAGAGTACGAGAGGAGGGAGAAAGCTTAATTGAGGAGAGAAGTATGAATATACAATTTTATACATGTTCTTAACAAAAACGTTAACAAAGGACCATTCGTTAAAAATGATATAATAATTGGGGACTAAATTAATAATATTTGATATGTAGAGACTAAATATGTAAAACGACCTATAACTAGGACCTTTTATTGAATTTACTCTATTTACTAATTATATGTGGAATAATATTATATGCTACAATTTATTTCTTTTTCTCATTTTGTCTTTTCTGTCAATGTAATATAAGTCTAAAATATTATATACGAATTAAAACATTTTTATTAAATAAAAATATTGAGTACTATAATATGAAATTTTATTTTTTATTATAGTTGACCAGGTCATTGACCTGGGTTTGCACGATTCAACCAGTTAACTCTTGACCTATTACATCATCCGGACCGATGTCCAGTTCAATTTTTAGAACAATGCCTTAAACACTAATTTGTAATTTTGTTTGTTTTATAAGTTTCTGTGTCGAGTAGCTATTTGTTTAGTGTACACAACTAGCTTTTGAATCTTTTTGGGAGTTTTAAAGACTTCCTTTTATTTATGACATTTTGTAGCTTTTGGATTGAGTACCCCCTCCCTCTTTTTATATGATCCATCTTATATTTGACATAAGGACAAAATAGGACAACTTGAATCCATCTCGATTTATTTTGATCTTAAATTTTATAGGATAAAATGGGATAAAGTTGTAATACAAATCGTTTATATATATAACAGGACAAGACGTGGGACAACTTACAAATCTGCACCATCCGGATCCGTGCCCACTCCTACTTTGTGGTGAGGTCCCGCTGACAGTAGTGAACGAGATGACCAAAATCATGATTTTTTATATTGACTCAAATCCTTTCTAATTTTGTTTAAAACCTTTTGTATGTTTCAAACTGAATGAAATAAGGTTTTAAATACATTTTGAGAGTGCATTTTGAGATCGGGGATATAGACATATAAAATTCTCCGTCTGGTCCTAAAAACTCTTGTTTTGATTTTTTAGTCAAGTAATTATATTCTTTAACCATATATTAAACATAATCTATAAAAATAAATTTTATAATAATTTGATATATCAAAATCATATCCTAAGATGACCCTAAATATATTGAATTTATATTATAAATTAATATAGTTTTCTTACTCCATCCGTTCCATAAAATATTTCTTGTTTTGAATTTTAAGAGATTTAAGATGGATGAATTTTGGTGTTGACTTTCCAAAAATGTCTTTGGATGTGATAGGTAAAAGTAGATGTGAATGGTAGATTAGTAGTGAAAAAATGTAATGTGATAGGTAGGTTAAGAATGATAGGGGTAAAAGTGACTTTTTAATAGAAATGAGAAAAGTTTTTAGGGACAGATGAAAAAAGAAAGGAGAGAAGTTTTGGGGAACGATGGAGCACAATTTATGATTAAAGAGTGTTACTATTTAACAAAAAAAGTCAAAAGAAGAAGTTTTTGGACCAAAGGGAGTAATAGTCTTACATATAATTCTAGCTATGTTCTGTGCTCGCTTGTGTTTCAATTTTATTCTTGAGAACCAATACTTAATGGGTTCTTGTTGTTCTTGAAATACTCAAACAAACGTTAGCTCCTATAGTATTTGTTAATATCAAAACAAGAGATTTAGTAAATTAAGGCTAGCACTCTTATTTGGGCCTCTTTGGCAAGCGAAAGAGATGAATTCTAACATTCAAAAACAGAGGAGCTTTTTCTGCACCATTTAACTTTGAATTCAAAATTGCCCGAATTATCTCTGAACTTTAAAATTGCATCAATGATCCCTGAATTTTTTAAAATATTGCATCAGTGGTCCTTTTGTTTCAAATTTGGCAGTGCGTTAATCACACGGTCATCAATATACCGGTTGGAGCTTGATGAAGACGTCATGGACTGACGAAGAGGTTGATCGATAGATGAAAAGATTATTCGGTTGACGTGTGGGCTTCGAGTTCCCTTACCAACGGCTAAAGCAAGAGTAAATATCTAGGATTTTAAAAAATTTAAAAAATGTAGAAGAAAATGTTAGGAAAAATATATTACAATATTCACGTGTAATATAAGATTTTAGATAAATCTATACTTGCACTGATGGACCATTGATGTAATTTTTTTAAAAGTTAAGGAGTATTGATATAATTTGTAGAGTTAAATGACTCAAAAGAACTCTAACACTATGTTTGGTTCAAGGAATTTTGAAGGAAAAAGAAAAGAAAATAGTTTTCTCTCATTTTCCTCACCAAAATGGGAGGAATTTGGTTTTCCCTCCACTTGGTACATTTTGCTTTCTCATTCTCTTTTTCTTCCACTTTTCCTTTCTAACCAAACAAGAAAACTTGTTTTCCACTTCATTTTCTCTTTTGAATTCCTTGAACCAAACATAGTGTAAAAGTAAAGAAAAATTGAGTACGTGGCTCCTTATAAAACTCTAAAGCGGGGGGCTTAGTGGACTCCGCCAGTTCTGTGAAGAAGAACACGAACTGCGGCTATTCTCCGCGGGTGAAAATGGGGGAGGCGCTTGCTACGGCATTTTCAGAGTCGAATGGGTGGGATCGCATTAGTGTAGACGAAGCGTATAAAAGGCTGCCGCTTCTATACTTCTCTCTGATGCTGATTTGGTCACTTTCCTTCTGTTCGTGGACCTTCAACACTTTCAGAACCCGCCATTTTCAGGTTCCCTAATCAAGAGGATTTATTCATTTCAATGTTTTATTTTTGCATTTTCGGTTATTTACTGATTAATTAGCATTTGATGCTGAAATTGGAAAGCTGCTGCGTTTTGCACATTCTGATCACAGTTTCTAGCACACCAAATCATTAATGTATATAGGTTTGAATGTGGAGCTTAGGTATCAAATACTGCATTAATTGGAATATCCAAGCCTATTTATTACGGAGTGTACTTCATTTTGATTAATAAAATTAAATTATGCTTTATGGGAAGGATAGTCATAATTTCAAACTTAATTTTAATGCAGTATTGTTTTGTTCCAATTCATGTTCACTTGGTTATGGTGGATGGTTAGAGATTTTGTTTTTACGATTGTTTAGAAATTTGGTGAGTAAGATGTGAAATATTGTTTGCATATAAGTTTATGTGGAAAGCAAAAATATTGTTTTTTCCCTTGAAAAGCTGAAAATTCAGAATTAGGGCTTCTTTTGTCCCCAAAATAGCTCAGCCCGATGCCCTGATCTACCCCTACCAAATTGTTTGTTTGCCCAGTAAGTTTCTACTTTTTTAGGGTGAAATGGTCAGCCTTAATTTTCTCAATTTCTATTTGGGTCTGTCTATTTGTACTGTACAATGGCAGATGAATAAATTGCAGTGGACATTAGCTTCCATTCCACTGATCAAAGCTTTACAACATATGCTATGCTTCCTCTTCTGGTATGCCTACTACCCTTTATATATAGCACCACGATTTCGCATTAATGGTAGGACTTCTTTGGTTGTAATGGGTGCTGTTTTTCAGGTCTTCATGCTATTACGCGCATGTATGCTCGTTATGGATATCTTTTGGAGTGTATATGACCGGAGTCCTTTCTCAGACGGTTACTTTTGTTGTGTTCTTAATTATCTCCTACGGATATTGTATCACATGTGAGAGTCTTTCCCTGTATGAGCGCCGGACTGCTGCTGCTCTCGGCTGTGTCTTCTACTTAACTCTTATTGGTCACAGAGCTTCCATACCTTATTTCTCAGTGAGTTTGTTTTCTTTACTGCTTTGATGCTAATTCTAATTATAACAAGGGCCTGTTTGGTAAGGGGTATTCGGCTGAACAAACTAGCCAGATGGTACTTATTCTGCTAATAATAGAGTATATAACCCATTTAATGCCACCAAAAGGACTTAAAAGTAATTTTTAAAAAACAGAGTGGGGCAAATTTTCTTTTCTTGTACATTTCCACAAGTTGATGCATCATAACTTTGTCGCGCATACAGGTGTTCCTGACCCTCGACTATTCCATATTGTTCTATGTGATATTCAGTCATATATCTCAGAACTTGTTACTATTGAGAGAACAATTGGCTTTTATTGAAAATGAGGATGTCCCCCATATGCATGATGCAATCTACATGAAGTATACCATGCTCAAGTGTGCTCCCTTCTTTTTGGTTTATATACAGTAGCATTCTCTAATATTATACAGTACAAGAAAGCCATGTTGCTGTTGAGGTGGAGATTTTCTTTCATTTCTGATGTTGCAGGAAATTTCAAGGGGTGATGCACATTGTGGCTGTTGCAGAACTTGCGGTATTGATGAAAATGCATTTCTATCTAAGTGTGGCAGTAGAAAGGGGAGTTTTATGTCTTTTTACAGTAAGGGGGCTTTTTAACTTTCCAGATATTCATAAACATAGAGAATTCGGTGGATTCCTACTGGCTTCGAATGTTGATTCGTGAATGTGCACACTTCTCTATCCTTTTGTTCATTGGGTATGTTGAATCTAACCCCTCCACAGAGTACACTCACTAGCAGCTCTATGCCCTGTCATGACTATATGTTAATAACTACGCCAAACAAATTCAGTATATCTACTCAAGAATGGGGTTTGGGCGAGGCAAGGTGTATGCAAATCTTACCTGTACTCCAAAGAAATGGATATGCTGTTTCTGAGAGGATGCCCAACAAATAGTGACCCATAGAGTGGCAAGTAAATAAACACAGCATCTACAAGTCTTTACAACCCTAATACGCCATCTCCAAAGAGACCTTTAAAAGGTCATGTCGTGTTACGGGCGTGGAAGCTCTTCAAGAAGAAGAAGAGAGTTCGAGGCCCTGTAACGGAAATGGGGGAGAGAGAGTCTATCGAGAGAAGAGAGAAGTGAGGAATGTAGAAAATATCTCATATTCTCATTAATTGTCTCAGCAAAGCTACACGGGTAGGTATTATATAGGAATCCACCTCATCACCCACTTAAAAGCACTAAAGGGTAAATACAAATATAGAGTAAAATAGTTAAGTCTGCATCATTCCTTTCCCCTTGGCCACAGCTTTGTCCTCAAAGCTAAACTTTGGAACTTTCTTCCTGAAATGAATAGACCACTCCCATGTTGTTTCTTCATCTGGATTTTCTAACCAATTCACTAGAACTACACCCCTTCTTTGTTTGCTCTTTTCGGGATTCCTCTTACTAGCTTTAGGTTGAGAGTAAATCTTAATTTGGAGTAGATGATGAAGCATGTAGGCCACCTTTCCTTCTTTAGAAATGACCTGGAGAGGCTCAAAAGACAGC